TTGTTTTATAATAATATAAATAATTATATACCAAAAAATCAGAAAAAAGAAATAGATTAGTGTAGTATAGTCATCTTATGTCTGATAGAGACTAAACACGAAGCAAAACCAAACAGCAGGGAAGTTCGAGTCAAACAAATAAGTTAGAGATTAAATGCATAGATTACCCCCAAACAATAGGGACTATTCACATAATTTACTCTTTTTGTTATTTTAATAGGTTGGAGGAAGCCGCCGGTAGTAAAGAGAAAGATATGTCATATGAAGAAGGATTAACTAGGTCGTATAGGGCAGGAAAATGAGACCAAACCATTTTATTTATATTTTTTAATAGATTAGCAGTTCAAAGATAAAAGAATATTAATAAATACAAATTAATCTTTTTACATCCATTAGATAGCCAAACCAAAACAAATCGAAAACCACCTAACCGTCCAAGTGAAAAAATAGACATGGACTATTTGTATAACTCATGCTAACAACTATATGGTCAAATGTAAACTCATACAACGAGTAGGTTGGTCAAAAATCACGTGGGTCACATTTCCGTGTTGTTACGTTGGATTCAAGAATGAAAGAACATTAAAAAGACCAAGAAAGAGAATTCTGCTTTTGAAAACTCCATGTTTTTCTGACCAATCCCATGCTCCCACCGTCCACCTACTCTTCCACCTTCACCCCACCAACACACTCAGTCTCCCCCTTCAATATATCATATCATATAGTATATATAATCACACACATATACACATGATTTAAACATCCATCACACATTCACTCGCCATTAAAGCTCCAAATCACATCCACTACCTTCATCAGAAACACGATCTTTCCACTCTAATGGCTGCTACTTCAGCTTTGCAATCAATCCCTTCGTCTCTCAAGCTATTACGCACCACCGGCGTAACCACCGCCGCTGCTCCTAACCTCCTGTCGTTCAAGAACTCTACAAACTCAGTTTTCTCTCATAAACTGATTGCCACACCCACACCCACAGCGAATGCCTCCGGCAGCCGGAGATGGTTTAGTGTGAAAAGTCAAAGCAACCCATCGGATTCTTCAAGACCCAGTAAGTAAATTAAAGTTTTGAACTTTTCATGAAAAGATTTGGAAATTGTTTATGGGTTTGATTCTTTTGTGTGATTTGCAGCGAAAGTGCAAGAACTGTCTGTGTATGAGATCAACGAGAGAGATCGTGGGAGTCCTGCTTATCTCCGATTGGGTCAAAAGCCTGTGAATTCCCTCGGTGATCTTGTTCCGTTTACCATTAAAGTAATTTATCTTCTTTTATTCTAGATCTCTGAACTTTCTTTGTGTTTACAAGTTAACTACGAAAAAGGAAAAAAAAGGATCTGATCGATGTTCAAAAACTGACGGCGATTTGGTTTCTGATGCAGGTGTACAGTGCGGATCTTCAGACCAGATTGGGGATCACCGCCGGAATATGTATTCTGATCAAGAACATGCCGGAGAAGAAAGGTGACAGGTACGAGGCTATTTACAGCTTTCACTTGGGGGATTACGGACAGATAGCGGTGCAGGGTGCGTACCTAACGACGGAGGACACTTACCTTACTATTACCGGAGGCACCGGGATCTTCGCCGGAGCTTATGGTCAAGTCAAGCTTCAGCAGCTAGTGTTTCCTTTCAAGCTATTCTACACTTTTTACTTGCAGGGTTTGTCTTGTGATCTTCCATCGGAGTTGCTAGTCACCCCTGTTCCTCCTTCACCTGCGGTGGAGGCGTCGCCGGCGGCCAAAGCAGCGGAGCCTGGGGCCACAAGCACTAACTACACTGATTAAAGTAATAATGGTGATGGGTACTACTGAGAGGTACCTTAGCTTTGTTGTAGTTAGAAGAGTTTTTTAGTGAGTTGGAGACAGTGCATGTGAGTTGTTCTTTCAGCTTTATGATTTGTACTTTTGAGGGGTAAAAATAAAAATTCAGGCATTGTGATTCGAGAGTGTTGTCTATCATGGGATGAGATTTTGGCATAAGGTGATTAATAGTGAAATATTTGTTGGATTGATAGTTTCCATTTATGTTGCACACTTTCTGAAAATAGCAACTTGAGTTACTAGGTGGTGAGCATGTTGTATACTACATATTACTGGCAGTCTGGCAATAATTATTTTACTTCTGTAAAAATAATTGTATCATATAGAATTTCAGAACTTAGATGATTGAGTGATTCATAATTTTAGCACAATATTTAACAGGAAGGTATCCATCCTTGATGCAGTCATTACAAATGAGATTTTCACGATCGTTGTTGTTGATGTTGTTGTTGTTGATGTCATAGTTGTTGTTATAGTTGTTGTTGTTGATGTCATAGTTGTTGTTGTGTTATAGTCAAGTCAATGTTACTATGGTGCAAGCATATTCAATTGAATTTGTTATAATCAAGTTGCTAATTGGATATTGATTTGCCTAGGGGTGGTCAAAAATATCCGCATCCGAACATCCGATCCGAAAAATCCGAAAATTCGGATATCCGGTTTTTCGGATTCGGATACGGATATTAAAATGTGAAAATTTCGGATATTTCGGATATCTGAAATCCGAAATATATAATAGAAAAATTATTAAAAATAGTTTTAATACATTGGGTTTTTTCATTTGAAATTCAAAAAGACAAATTATTAACATTTTTACTTGGTACGCAGAGTGAGGATGGTATAAATGTTACCTTTTTTATGTTGATTTTAGTAATTTGAGTTTGATTTCTCAAGATCTTCAGGTATCATGAGGGAACTTGCATTTAACCGGACCAAATGAAGTCTTATTATACCTAACAAATGCATGGAAACGTTTCTTGTTCTTGGAGGGTTATTTTCTTTATTTAAAACTAATGAAATTCGGATATCCGGTTTAATATCCGAATCCGTATCCGAAATTTCGGATATCCGAATTTCGGATATCCGAAATTTCGGATACGGATTCGGATATCAAAAATCAACTATCCGAATTTTGTTCGGATATCCGGTTTTGAACACCCCTAGATTTGCCCATATGAGCAATCGGCCTAGTTTTCTATCTTTTGGCTGCTTTAAATTATTAAGTCTTCCATGTATATGTGGGTTTATGTTAAATCCACGTGATGTTCGTGGAAGATTCTTGTTTATCATTAATAAATTAGGGCTAGTATTATTTTCAAGTTGCTTTTAAGCTAGGATTTGAATATTTGTAAAGTAAGATAAAGAAGGGGAAAGTTAACTTCACTTTAATGTATTAAGAAGTCCCATATGGTTTTGGTTTCACGGTTGTAAACATGTATGAGACTGAAACTTGGAAACTTGGTCTGGAGCCGTTCGGAACCGGTATATGTTTAACAAGTCCGGGTATCGGGTATCATGATTAGCTTAAACCGGGTATCGGGTCTAATGGGTCTAGGTCCATCAAGTATAAGGAACTGGACCTGAAAGTTTAAAGGCCTCAAATCGAAAAACAAGCCATGCTCTTGCTTCTTCGACTTTTGGTACATGGACTAAAAAAAGTCTTGGACTCTCTCGGTTATGCACAACATCAACGAGAATCAAATTAAAAAAAAAAACCCTCGACATTACCTACTGCATTATGAGGTTCTTTTGTTCCACTTTAAATTGTCATAACTGGTTCGTTATACGTTTGATTGGCCTGGTTTGGTTTTTTTAGAATGTAGTTCGATATTTTCTGTTGATTTTTACACTATGAGAATAGCTTATTTGGATACGTATTGAATGACTTATACTCCCCTAAACAAGACGTATCAAAGTTGGTTTTTTTTAATAAAAAAAACTATCTTTTTATAGATCATTCTTTTATAAAAAACAATTATGGTTCCAAAGCTAATTTTGGTTCCAAATTCAAATACGGTTCCAACCCCAAATCTGCTTCCAAATGCTCTGAAGTAGTTCTATACCTGGTCCCACATCCGACATTTGTTTCATTATATCGGTCGGGTTCCTAGTTCCACTAAAATGCCAATTTCGAGTTTTAGTTATTTTGGTTTTCTGTTCCATTCTTCTTTTAATTCATTTGATAAAGCGACAAACTCCTTTTACCTATCTTATAATCAGTTTTGATCGTGAATGATTAATCTGAATTTGTTAAGTCTTCAGCCAACTTCCAACTCATGAATAAGGAGTTTGTCTAGTTGGATATGGTTCAATGATCAGAACTATAATTGTTGGGTCGAAAGGTCAAGTTTTCGTTTGTTATGATCAAGCTTTTTATGGACCCTAAATCTCTTATATTCCAGTTGATCATGTCTCACCGAAGTGGGAAAGGAACCAAACCATAAAGGAATTTATGAACTGGAGAAGTTGTAATTCTTCTATAAAGAGGTGGAGAGCTTATGCCTTGGTCATATAAAGAATTTCCTATCCGACCGCCTCTATGATTTGTATGTGTCAATCATTAATCCTAAAGGTTTCTAGAAAGCCTTGTAGCTTAAGTACAAGGCATGCGAGAAAGATACTAATAAGTACATTGAGTCCAAGTACTTAAACTTCCAAGTGTTCGAAGAAAGACCAAACTTGGAGCGGTTGTATGAGCTCCATGTGACATCTCTTATTTTTTAGAACCAAAAATAATAATAATAATAATAAATATTATACTTATGCTTTAAAAATCACAATATCTTTATTTGCAGAAAATCTCAGTACAATAAAACATTTTTTTTACGGAAAGTGTCTCGTTTTATTAAATATCTTTGAGTAAAAATGTTCTTTGAAAATACAAAAACTCTGAGAATGTCATAATCAATACATAATATTGTTACAACATAAAGTCCTAATGGTCCGTAACACTGTTGCAGGTTGTCTCTTAATCACTCAGCATCCTAATCTGTGATGCATATAATTTCAGTGGGTCAGGTTGGGGAACCTGCTAAGACACATAGGGTTTTCAAAACCACAATATTATTATGATAATAATTTATAATTATCAAACCTGCAAAACCAACTATTACCAGACAATATATATATATATATATATATATATATATATATATATATATATTATATCCCATAACTTAGATACCTATAAAACATTACACCTATACAAACTCATCCCAACCGATTCTCACAAATCGTAGTCCACGATTATCAGGTAGAACCGACTTGCCTGATGAATCCTTTAGAGTAATGGTTTGACTACAGCTAGGGACTTCCTTGGCTGGTATAAGTCCTAAAGGCACTTAATCTGTAACAGTATTTTTTGATTATAACATCTCCATTTCATATGTGTCTTTGTGTTGGGTCAAAATTATGGTTTATACTTTGCTTTTCTAGGAAAATGTATTTTTATGTCTAGGACCGTAACAGCTCAGTGTGTTAAGGCCATATATGTGTTTAACGGTCCAGTGTTTACGGCCGTAAACCCATTTACGGCCCATGTTCCCCAATATATTATATAGGTGTTAGGGGTGAGAGTAGTAGAATAGAATAGGAGAGCTTAAGTGTGTGAAACCCAAGGTGTTCTACAGAGAGAGAAAAGAGAGTGTGTGTTAGTGTGTGTGAATCTTGTATCCGGATCTTCATTCATATCAATACATACAAGATTCATCGTCTTCTTCTTCTCCTTCTCTTCTAAATTGATCTGACATCATCCGTTTGATTGAGATTCCGCACCATCAAACGGATCTGATTGATACACAAGCAGATTAGGGACTTACAATTGGTATCAGAGCTTGGATTGTATCAGTCAATTTTGTCAGATCTGGAGCTTATTTGATCTTATTTTTGAAGGATTCCTGTGTTTTTGGATAGATCTCTGAAAATTAGGGGGGTTTGTTCTTCCCGTTTTTCATAAAAACGGGTTTTTGATCGAGTTTTGGAGCAAAAAGGGGCAAAAATCGCTGTTTTTGGTCGTAACCAGCGAGGGGGTGGCAGCGTTTACGGTCAGCAGCTAGGGTTTCCGAGGTTTACGGTCCGGAGTTTGCGGCCCGGTGGTTTACGGCCGGAGTATACGGCCGGTCCTCAGAGTTTGCGGTCCAGCAGCCTCGGTCTTCGCTTCGGAGTTGATCCTCGCACGTCCTCGCATCGCGTCATCGGCCTCGTCCTCGCAGCAGCATCTTCTTCGCATCTAAAAAATAGGAAACGGATTTGGGGGTGCCGGGGATCGAACCTGCGACCTCTAGTTCATCAACACATCGCTTTACCAACTCGACTAGCTGACACCTTGGTTCACTCCTTCGAAATTTAATTCATAAAGTGTCCCTCTCGGTTCCAACTTTCGCATTTTTGTCAATTTCAGCCCAAAATTAAAATTTCTTTTATTTTTTAAATTCCATTTTCTACAAAATTTTAGATTTTAATTTTTGAGCTTTTATTTTTGACTTTTTATTTAAAATTTTGACTTTGACTTTTAAAGTTTGACCTTTGACTTTAAACTTTGACTTTCTCGTTTAACTTTTAAATTTTCAAATTTAGCTTTCGGTTTGACTTTTAAGTTTGGCTTTTAAGTTTGACTTTTGAGTTTGACTTTTTAAATTTAACTTTTAAGGTTGACTTTTGAGGTTTATAGTCAAAGGGCATTTTTTTTAGTTTGACTTTTAAGTTTGATTTTGGCTTCTAGTTGTGCTTTTAATGGCTTTTGAGGTCTACGAAGACATGAAAGAGAGTCAGGATATGTTAAGACAAAAATTCAACATGTTCGATTACATTCCTGAAGAATCTCTGGAGGCACAGCTGCAGCGATTCACAACTCTTACTACTGATATAAACATATCTGAGATCTTCTTGACTAAATCTGAGATAAACAAAAAGCTGCTGAATGCACTTCCAAAGTCGTGGGATATGAACGTGGTTGTCATCAAGAAGACAAAAGATCTCAATCGTCTTAGTCTTGCTGATATAATTGAAGAACTTGACGCTTTGAAGTGTCGAAAAACAATGAGTTCCGTAAACCTTCCGGTCAATGAAGTTTCATGTTCTCAACCCTGTGAAGTTTCATGTTCTCAATCATGTGAAACTACGATTAAACTTCTTCGTGAACATAATGATTTGCTAAAAAGGGAAGTTGAGGACCTGAGATATGAAGGTTATCAACTCAGGAAAGGACAGAAACCCCTAAAGGCCCAGTTAGAAACAAAATAAAGGACTTTAGGAAGCTTCAGGAAGAATTCAGCAACAAGTGTGAAAATTATGACTATATTAAGAGACAAC